AAAACATTTAGTATCAAGAATTTATGTCTAACAGGGAATAATTCCTTTTTCTTTTTAACATACTTTTATCACTTAGCTAACGGATGCGGTAACTCATTTCTTCGTTTCACAATAAAATCTTTCTCTTTTTGATAGACAATTTTAGGAGAAATGGAAGTCCGTTTTCACCAAGATTTTCTGTTTACTAAGAAAAATTTGTGCTGACGTCATATTAGTGGTCTGTTGGTACTGAATGGTTGGAGGCAATTGTCAGGAAGGATAGGACCTAGGTTTCGTGCTATTTGGCATTCACCAGTCAGCAAGTTGTATCTGCAACCTTCAAGGAACTCATATCCCTTTTGAGAATTGAACCCGCGTCACCTTGTGCTGCGGTCAGACACGTTACCACTGAGCTTTTTTAGTCAACTAGCAAAAATCCTAAGTCCAAGGCTTCCTGCCGATCGCCTTCAAATATCCGTGAAGTCAAGCCACCTAGTATGGTGGCCACATTGTAAAATTGACTGACAGAATTCAGTCTGCATCAAAGATAGGACCAGGCACATTACACCAGTTACTGACTAGTGACCAATGAAAAATATCATTGGTCGGTTTATCCCAGAGATGAAAAACTTAAAAGAAAACCGGTTACAATATAGACTTTTATTATGTATCTGAAGATTATTTTTCTGGTAGTATTTCGTTCAGTAAGCATGGTTGTGTCTCATCAAACAGAAAAGTGGTTTAAAGAAAAATTAAATTATTGTACCAATGAACATAACCTCACCTATTTCACTTGTTCACCAGTTTACTGGCCTGCCCTAAGCCCTGGAAAAGAGGAAAGAATGGTTTTGAGGCTAGGGACGGAAATTTCGAAGCACAGAAAAATATCCAAAATAAGCTTATTATTCACTGCAATCAAAGAGACGGAATGACGAGGTTTAGTGAAAGCCTTTAGGAAGCCAGTCAGCTGGTATGAAAACAAAAATAAGCATGATGATATAGAATGTGTGTACATCGTTCAAAGTTGAGAAGGCTACTTAAATTACGAAGGAGAGAAGATGCAGTACAGATGTGCTAGGATTTTTTGTAAGCAGAGTGAATAAGATCAGGCTTTCAAAACTGCTAACTTCAGAGTCACTAATCTATTTCGGTTACTCAAACGACAACCACGAGTACATTGAAGAAGTAGCTACTGTGATGTCACCAAAAGCACTGGAATCTTACATTCAGTGGGGACCAATGTTCTTGAGGATATTGACATCGAGATTCAGTTTTAAGTGTGTGAAAGTTAAAATTATCCAGTGCTAAGCTCCTACAAAAAATGAAGACCTGGTAGAGAAGGGGGAAGAATTCTACAGAGAACTGAAAATATAAATGTAAAAGACTGAAGTCATATGGCAGTTACAGAATCCTTACGGATTAGATGAAAGCAAAACTGGCGGCAAACAGCACAGAAACAGAACTCATAACGTATCAGGAAGGCTTCAGTGAAATGAATTAAAACGGAAAACTGTTTGCATACCTGTGTGCCTTCAGTGGTTCGGTAATTAAAGGTGGCGTGTACAAGCATAAAGATTAACACAAAACGACATGGGTTTCACAAGTTTATCTCATCAAAAACCAAACAGACTTCATCTCAAATTCATGAAAGTGGAGACGTGGCCTGCTGGATACAAAATAGAGAAGAGGAGCAGATGTTGGTTCAAACAATTAACTAGTTCAAGAAACCCTTATGATCAAGCCAGATATACTCCAGAAGATGGAGATAAACCACAATGCAAGTTCAACATTGAGAGAATGAGGGAAGAATCTACAAAGAACACTATCAGTGCAGCCATCAGCCTGAAGTCGGAGACCCTACATAGCAACACTGAAGAAACTCGTGTGGAAGAACATTGGAACTCTATGAAAGTGATGTTCAAGGAAACGTGTACAGCCGTTATAGGAAGTATTAAGAGGCAGGATAAAGTGTGCCTCCCAACGGACACCTGGAATCTAATGGAGAAGAGAGGGATGGTGAAACAGATGATGAAACAATGTAAAGAAAAACAATGAAAAGAGAAGCTGACTTCACTTCACTTCAAATGACTCTTGCACTAATCATCACCTAAAAATCATCCAGAGATACTTCTAACAGTGACAGAACTGCCAGTAGACATCAAATGCAGGTGTCTTGAATGCCATAAGGTTACTGAAAGCTTGGAAGGCAGAAGGACCAGACAGAATTCCCCCAAAATCACTCAAAACAAACCGAGACCTTAGTGGATGTACATACTCCACTAATACAAAAAGTTTGGAAGTAATAAAAAGTACTAGATGACTGAGAGAAAGGCTACCTTGTCAAACTACCAAAGAAGAAGGGCCTAGGCCTTTGCAAGAACTGGCATGGGATCATGCAAAATATTAGGTCGCGTCATCTTGTAGAGACTGAAGGATGTTCTGGATGTGGAATTCCACCTCGAAAAAGCTTAATTCAAGATAAATCAACCATGTCAATATCAAATTGCAACACCACGCATCATCACTGGCCACAGCATAGAATGGCAATCAAGTCTCCCTCCGCCTAAATTTCATCAACTTTGAAAAGGCTTTCGACAGCGTTGACTGAGAAATAATCTGGAAATTGCTTCAACACTACCGATTTAATTGCCACAAACCTTCTTCAATCTCATTCGACAATCACCGAAAGCCGTCACATGTCAAGTGATTCACTGCAGGAAAACCGGTGAAGACTTTGAAATAAAAACAGGCGTCAGAGACGGCTGCCTACTACATCCGTTGATATTCCTGATTATGGTGGATTGGATTATTCAGTAGAAATCTACAGGCGAAAACCCACGAGTTGACAGAAGATCGAGGAGAGGGAAACAGGACTCCAGGTGAACACAGAGAAGAGTGAAGATGATGAAGATAGCTTACCAATAACAACAGCAAGCACTCATCACTGTGAACAGGATGAATCTGAATGAAGTCAGAATGCAGCCAAAAATTGATGACTACGAAGAAAAACAGAACAATCTTGGACTAATTTTTCATAATAATTGCACGCTGTATAAAGAATACATCAGAATACACAGTTGCAGCATACTTCTACCGTATTTATGGTACGACACGATGATATTTGTGAATGATAATGATGAAAAGTAATAAAAATATTTTATACCGTGTCGTCATTAAGAACTTATACCATAATGACTTTATGCGAGATGCTTACATTAGCAGCGATATACTCTTGTGTGTCTAGGCTTCACACCATAAACAGATACTGAAAACGGTAGCGGTTTTTCTGCAAGCAGTAAACTTAGATGTGAAAGATAAAGACTACCTAAATTAACCTGAAAATTCATACCTGTCGATTTACCAGGTTGCTTAGAATAAAAGCTCATGGTGAAGATGTCACCTGAAGTAATCACTCTAATGTCAGTGGATCAAATAGTTATAAATAGGTTAATGCTACAATTTTGTTGTCCAAAGTGCGTTGGTAGTTCACCGGTAGAACTTTCGCCGACCATGAATATGGTACTGCGTACGATCCCCGGCCGGCGCACTCCTTTACCTCGCTAGGCCGATAGTAAGTCCGTGGAAAAGAGAAGGTTGGACGTGGAACTAGCAAACCCACCAAGTAAAAATAAAACTGATGAAGAGTCCCAAAATAGGACGAAACCGCTGTCCAGTACTCCCAGGATTTCCAATGGTTCTCAAACCAGTGTCAGCTCTTGATGAAACCCTGTAACCAACCAACCAAATCCCTACAAACCAATACTTGAATATCAATGAGATGCTCACTGGCAACTGGCCCTATTCAGATAGGAAGTTGCCTGGGGTTTCAGTAGGAAGTCGTGACCAGGAGGGTGCAGCCGGTCGGGTGGGAGGACAAATACTCGCCGAAGACATTGGCTAGTGGTCGCGCTATATCGTGAATTGGCCGAAGTTAGAATTCATGGGCCATTGGATCGGGTCCCAGTGACTTACTGATCTGTGAACTCGTCTTGTAACTGGAAGGTCCTGGGTTCGAACCGTGGTGGTGGGTGCGTACTTTGAAGAGTCCCAAACTAGGACGAAGCAGCTGTCCAGTACTCCCAGGATTTCCAGTGGTTCTCAAACCAATGTCAGCTCATGATGAAACCCTGTAACCAATCAACCAAATCCCTACAAACCAATAATGGAATAAAAATAAAACTACTGCTACTGAAACATCGAAGCTCCAGCCTGAAGGCCTATGCTCCACTAGGAACGTGAAGGAATAAAATAATAATGAATAATAAACAGTTGTTCAAGATTTAATTTTTACGGACTAGTAGTTAAGAGGTAATATAACTTTTTATTACTTATACAAAACTACCTACAAGGTAGGATTTGAGTTAATCTTGCATCCGAAAACATTCGTAAACTGCTTCGTAATTTGATTAACGATAGCGAATTCGTGTTAAATTTCTTTAATTCCCAACTTTTACCTATTTCCCCCCTCCCTGTCTATTACAGACTAAAATCTCTCGTCTTCTGTAAACATGAATAAACAAATAGCGCAAATGTTATATTTATTCTGGAGAGGAAAACAGGAAACCAGAAATGCTTAAATCAGCAATTTTTCATAATTTTTATTTTATGGTGTTCAATCATTTAGTTAATGCATAAATACTTTAACTCTTATCAGTAGAATCATTTGGATCTATTAAAATCACCTAAGAAACATAATGATGTGCATAATCTTACTTCTGATTGGAGTCTTATTAGTATTATTGTTATTATTACACTTTTTTTCACATGTTCAATAAAGTAGGCAGCTAATTGGAAAACTATAATAAACCAAAGAAATCACCTATAAGGCTATCTCTAATCTAAACGGAATAAAGTTTGAACAATTCCTAAAATAATTAGTGAATGATACTTAGATTGACACAGAAAAGTATATGGATTGATGAGTTTTATTATTCTTATTATTCGAATAGAAATTATTGAAATTTGTTCAAAATATCATTCAAAAATCAGAATTTTAAATCTATCTTGTCTTTTTATTTTAGATATGTTAGCTTAAACGAATCATAATGTCGGTTTATGGCTGTCTAACGAATACAACGGGTAGTATTCACCTCCATAATCAGGTAAGATGGATAAATTCACTAGTCTCTTAATCATAAAATTGCACAAAAACGATGGTTTCCCATAAAAACACATAGATTTTCCTCTGAAACATGGGGATTTATTTTTGTAATGCAGTTCTATTATTTGTAGCAATACTCACTGTATTTGTGATAAAGTATGTGGCGTTCAGTGTATAATACTACAATGAATTTATGAAGAATGTAACAGCCATCTATTTAATGGTTGTAAATTTAATATCACGTTGGATAACATATCAGTATCAGTTACAAAACCGCTGAAAATCAGGTAGTAGTATTAAGCAGCTGTTTTGTCCAACTTTAAGATCATTCAGTACTACGCACCCATGAACCTACCGGTGATCGAACGTAGGACTTTCAGATTACTGAGTGAGGCCACTAATCACTTGGACTGTACCACGGAATCAAGTGGCCCGTGAGCTCCCGATATATAGTGAAACTGCTGTGTAAGGTCATAGGTGAGTATTTGTCATTACATCCCACCGATTACAACTTCTAATCTAATCTAATGCGTACTAGTGACTGACTTCCGATAAAGTTGCCAGCAGTTCTAATGAGAAGTAGTCACTAGTGGAATGTACGAAGTCAGGTGTAAGGACAAATACTCTCCAGTAACGCTGGTTATCGGCTGCGCCACTGTATTGGAAATTACCGGAAGGTAGAATTCACAGGCCACTGGATTCTGTATCAATAGCTGAACAGTCACCTAGATCACCTTGTAACTTGAAGCTTCTGTTTTCTGTCCCTACTGTTTTCAAGAATGCATACTGCTAAAGGATCTTGAACTAAGACGATACAGCTGTCCACTACTCCATGTTTTTCATTTGTTCTCTAACGAATATAAACTCGTGATAAAGGGAAATCAGTCAGATGCTTGCAAACCAACACGCAAAGGAAAAATTTGATAACTTACTTGTCTGCTAATATTCCCCTCTTCATAAATATTATGTGCTACATTCTGTTTTTGGGTTTAGTATTTAGTAGCTGTTTGATTGCGAACTAAATTTATGTGATTAAAATAGAAATTAGAGTAAAGAATAACCAACAAAGGTAGCGAAAGGATAATAAGTAGCCTTTATCACTATACTTAGTAATATTAACTGACCAGTAAAGCCCGAATATGATGGAAAAGTCTTTTAGAGAATATAAAAAGGCCTGGATTCTTAAATAGCTATCGCTTAAGCTAATTTTAGTAGGTCCACCAAACTCTCTTGACTTTATTGGTGTGATTCATTTCTTTAATGCTATTAGCTATGGCTAAAAGTGATTATATACCTGACTTGCCTAAATCCTATAATTCTTCAGGATATTCCAATAAATGCTTCTGCACCTACACCTACAGAACGGAAAATTACATATACACACATGCAAACAGATACATACTGTTACCTTAGATGCAGCAATTGTCCACGCAGATTATAAATCTTTATTATCTGTGAATGGAAAATCCCTGAAGGGGAAAATTTCTGAAGTACCTAAATTCTGAATTTGAAGTGAACCACTTAAAACTGACTTTTACTTGTTGTGTGCTCTACAAATAACAATTAATGTATCATAGTTATATTACTGGATTCTCCTCTTTATGTTCATGAAATTTTAACATCATAATGCAAGCTTCAACAATAAACGATTTTGACAGTGATTTGAAAGCTCCAAGGGTGTTCATTACTATAGGCACTGAAGTCAATATCCTGACTTCTTCAAGCTAGATCTTATAAAATAAATAATATCACTGAACCATTGTCACAATCATGTTGACTGAATGACAAGTTATCTCAAAAAATATTCAACAAAAGAGAATGATTTTATATAAATAAACGTTAGTGAGAGAAACAGAGTTATTAGAAAACTCATAAAGAGTGAGTTCATCCACACAAGTTCAAAATGATTTGGAGCCATATCATCAAGTCTCTAACCACTGTTTCCCAGTACTCTTACAAACTCACACTATGGAACTGAGATCACAATGACTTCATAGATGATGAAAGTATTTGATATGACTACTCGTATTAGTTTCTTTTCCGAAAAAAATTGACCTCCACGTAATCTATTCCAACATTTTTTTAAATATTGTTAGAGTCACTGACAATTATTTGACCTATCTGAGTATTACTCCTTTATTCATCTAGCTAAAACTTTTTAGCCTATAAAACCATTTCAAACAACAACATTAATTTAAAACAATTAGTTCCGTTTAGGAATTTAAACTAGGCAATAAGAAGACGTAATTTGTCTGAATCGTGTAATGTATTTGCTCAACACATTTCGAACAATCTGATCACACACGGACTTGTCATAGGAACATATATGAAATTAATAAATAGGTAAGAGGTGAGAAAATAAATTTAGGTCAAGTTAAAAGGACATATCTATTGAAGGTCAAAAGAACAATGAGGATCACTAAACCAAATAGCAGAGGTAATAGTACATCTGCTATGGTATCAAAACAAAATTTACCAAAGAAGGTTTAATGTGATGACGAATTGTTTTTGAACGCATGAAGGTGGCTTACACTTTCTAATTGCTAGGGCTTTCACAAACTTTAGGATATGCACCAAACACTTTTCATAGACAGGTTTAAAAGATCTGTTAACGTCAATTTTATTTCCTGTCTCTATAATATGTTTCGCAATAGAAGAGCTAGGTATTCTGTTCTCACCGTTAATAGGTTCGGAAGATTCCATTTGTTTCTGGAGCCATTTAGGAATATGCTCTGAAGCCCTTACTTGCAGAGACCGATGAGTCCACACGTACATTCAAATTGGTAAATACAGTGGGATGTGACGTCATTTTTCGCATGTTCGAAGGGCTTAGATAGATATATTGGCTTCTCTATTATTATGATATTGGCTGCATAAGACGTCTTTTTAACAGCAGCGTCCAGTCTTTGTCTAGTTATCAAGCTGTTATGATGCCCCATATAGGGTAGCTTGATGAAGACGTCTTTCTTAGGGGCGAGTTAGAGAGTGGGTCTTGGTGTTCTGACTACTTTATATCGCCTGATGAACTTGTCTGGATAATTATTATCAACCAGAGTTTGTGTCAGCTTTCTTTCTTCTTCATCAAGTGTGTCCTCAGTGCATTTTCGTCGGATTCTACTGAAGAGGCACCTTACTAAGGCTCTATTGTACCGAACAGGGCAGAAACTGTGGTAATTAAGATACTGTCCTCTCCAGGTAGGTTTTCTATAAATAGATCCTTTTATTGACCAATCTATAAAATGTGTTTGGTGCGTATCCTAAAGTTTGTGGAAGCCCTAGCAATTAGAAAGTGTAAGCCACCTTCATGCGTTCAAAAACAATTCGTCATCACATTAAACCTTCTTTGGTAAATTTTGTTTTGATACCATAGCAGATGTACTATTACCTCTGCTATTTGGTTTAGTGATCCTCATTGTTCTTTTGACCTTCAATAGATATGTCCTTTTAACTTGACCTAAATTTATTTTCTCACCTCTTACCTATTTATTAATTTCATATATGTTCCTATGACAAGTCCGTGTGTGATCAGATTGTTCGAAATGTGTTGAGCAAATATATTACACGATTCAGACAAATTACGTCTTCTTATTGCTCTATCTAATAACATTAATCCTTATTATGTCTTGAATATATTCTTTCTCTTCTCCAGGAATTGTATAGTGCAGCTAATACTGCTATTCAACTGAATGCTAACCTAAATTCAACTGACTATTCAACATTGAATATTTCAGCAATCAATTATTTTGAAATAAACAGTTTACCTTTGTTTAAAAGCAGCATTGGTCTATACGATAACTCAGACAGTGTATTCTGTTCACGTTATCCAAGTTATAAACGTGAATTCAATTTAAATCGTATTCTACAAACATATGTACAACCATTTGTTATATTTTTTACAATAATAACAAATTGTTTAATATCTATTGTACTTACACATCCAACTATGCGTAATTCAACAAATATTATTCTGCTAGGTATTGCTATATGTGATCTACTTACTGTTCTACTGCCAACACCAGTATACTTAAGTTTATTAACAAGTAATTTATTTTCAGAGAATTTAACAGCTTTTAAAGGTTATGTGGAATTTTATTTGACAACAATCTTACCAACAGTATGTCATACTTCTTCAATATGGTTAACAGTATTACTAGCATTACAAAGATTTATCTATGTACATTTTCCCTTGAAAGCTAATCGTATCTGTTTATGTCAATGGAGATCAGTTCAATGGTTGATTATCTGTACTATAATAGCAGGATTATTGCATCAACTACCACATGTGATTGTAACACGTTTTGAATATGCTTTAGAATATTGTATGAGAACATCAGTGTCAACAAATTCATCCTTCTCCTCACAGTTATCTTCAGTGTTAAAGCTATCCAAGCCAACAACATTCATAATTGATTCAGAACATATTTCTTATATATTTAATAATACTACTGAAGAGATGAATGAAAATGTTTATATTACATTTTTAAGAATTAATTTACTAAAGTGTACACCAATGAGTTATACAGCATTTACATGTTTCTTATTATTTCGTGTTATTACTGTCAATTTAATACCGTGTATTATGTTAAGCATATTAACCACTCTGTTAATTATGGCACTGAGACGTTTTATACAGAATAGACAAAAGTTATTACGGATTAAGAATGAAAATCATCAAATGTTAATTAATAAAAGAGAGACAAACTCTCAGTTATTAGGGAAAGAGGATGAAGATAATGAAAATAATTACAAAGAAATAAGTCTTACTGATCAACTGAAAACATCTGTTACTGGACCAAAAACAACCTCGGCGCTAATGATGAGAAATGTTTGTAAACGTGTCAGTGATAGAAATACTCAGCACAAGTCATCCCGTGCCCAATCTTCCACTGATCCAGATTCTACATCAAAAATGATGCTTGTCATATTGAGTATATTCTTGTTTACAGAGATACCAATCACTGTTTGCTTGTGTATTTATGCATTTGTAACAGTTTCCCAAACTCAACCGAGTGCAGCATTTTATCAAGTGAGTTTACTGTTTATCGATTTTCGCTTTGTACTATTGTTACCAAAAAAACAGTTAAAAATTTGTATTTTTCAAGTATTGGTTTGTAGAGACTATGTTTGATTGGTTGGAGAATTTCATCATAAGCTGACATCAGTTAGAGAACCATTGGAAAACCTGAAGGGAGCACTGGACAGCTGTTTCTTTCCACTCTGGGACTCTTCAGTATTACACATTCACCACCAGGGGGTCGACCTCAAGACATTCTGCCTAAATGGCGATCTTGCAGACCATTAAGCCACTGGGACCCGATCCACTGGCCAGCCTTTGAATTCTAACTTCTGCCGATTCGCCACATAACGCGACCACTTCGCAATGTCTTCTTCGATGAGTTACTGCCTCAGCTTCAACTTGCTGTACCCTACTAGTCACGGCCTCCCACTAGAACTCCAGGTCACTACCTGAATAGGGCCGGTCGCTAGTGAGCATCAAATCAATTTCTCCAGTATTGGTTTATATTTCAAGATTTTTAATCAGAATGCAGAATTTTGAAAGTGCAGTGAACAAAGTCAATTTTTGTTACAGAATACATAATATTCAAGTATGTGTGAATATAGGTATAGAACTTCGCCGCTGTAGTAGAGTATAATTCCATTATTGAGAAAATTTATTTTGGTAAAGTCTTACTGTGTTACACAGTAGTTTTCTGACGACGTTTCGAGCAAGATTTACTGCCGATAATCATACCAAGTTACTCACACAGCCTTCTGACTTCGTTTATATAATTCCACTAGTTTTCATCTTTTGATTTGATTAGTAGTAATATTTTCCATATATCTGGTACGAGTGACGAGTCATTCCTATTGCACATATTGGGTGTAGATTCTATGAACCAAGATTCAATAGTCAAGCTCTCCACCTACCTATATTACATTTTAGAATTTCAACTTGGTCCCTCCCTATTGTGTGGCTGTGTGTCAGTGAATGCTGTGCATTTACTGAGTTTTTTCTAAACTACTTATCTTCGCGGGGTCAGTCATTCTACGCATGGCTAAATTCTTATGTTCTGACAGTCTCACTGCTCCCGACGTACTAGTTTGACCTATGTAGCTGACTTAACTCACAGTCATTCCAAGGTATTTTGTAAATTATATTATTTTGTTTAATTGGGTCAATCTACAGGGTCCTTCAAACTACAGAGCTTGTCCCTCAGTGAGTTTGTAGGTTTAGATGCCACTCTAATTCCTGCTTCGTTAATAATCCTACGCAGGGTTTCAGATATCCCCTGTAGATACATTATATTCCCTCTTATTTATGTTATCATTACTAGTTTCAACATTATTTTATTTTGCTTTTAACCTTTTTTGATCTTCCTGCACTTCTTCTATCTGTTGCACTCCATCATTTAGTTTTTGTGACGTACTAATTAGTGCTATTGTTCGGTTTGTTAAACACTTAGCTAAGCCTGCATTAACAGTTAACGGATGAGATGATCTAAAGTCTAAATATCTATTAGCAGAATGTGTTGGCCTCTTATGCACACTAGCGTACAGTTTACCTTCCTCTATTCGTTTTATTTCACAATCTAACATAACTAGTTCTCCTTGTTCATTTTCTGATTCAAATGTGAATTTTATTCCCTTTACTAGTGAGTTTATATGCGTCAAGAAGCTAGAGATATGTTCTGTTTCTAACACTGTGAAAGTGTCAGTCATCCACATATCTCCAGCATATTTTTGGAGTAGGATTAAATATATTCACAGTAATAATTTCTCAGCTGTCCATAAAGATATCTGTTACAATAGGGGATATTGGTGATCCCACTGCTACACCTTCTGTTTGTTTATATATTTTATCCTGGAATTTAAAGATAGTAGGTGTGAGGCATAACTGATTCCTTAAAGTAATTTTCTTTCCTTTAAATAAGATGGGCATCAGTAGTTACTTCTCTTTTAACTGGAAAATATTACTATGAATCAAATCAAAAGACGAAACATTGTGGAATTATATAAACGAAGTGAAAAAGTTGTGAGAGTAACTTGATATGATTGTAGTCAATAAATCGTGCTCGAAACCTCATCAGTAAATATTAGTGTATTATACTATGAGACTTTACCAAAATAAATTTCCTCCATAATGGAATAATGTGTTAACAGTCTTCTCCAAAACATTTTATCCTTTCTTCATCCAAAATATTTGTGTAGAAATATAGAATTCAGTCACTATTGAGGACTCTACACATGTGACTTTGTTTATTTCGTAGTGATCTCTTGATGTATCCATCATGATCCTATGGGAGGTCAGTCTTCAGCCTGATTAGCTCAGTGCTAATTTATCTGACCATATCATTGAGAGATATAGACTCAAAACTCCGATAAACATTTTATCCGATGATATTAGATGGTTGGAGGCAATCGGCCACAGGAAGCCTTTGACCCAGGTTTCGTGCTAGTTGGCACTCGTCAGCAAGGCGTATCTGCAACCTCATTGAAGGAACTCATGTCCCTTCTGAGACTCCAGCCCGCGTCACCCAGTGAAGTGCTGCAGTCAGAGACGTTACCACTGAGCTATTCGGGCTCGCGATTGACCCATTGTAGGACTGTAGTGGATATTTTGACTGGACTCTAGTAACTAGTGTGATGTGCCTAGTCCTTCCTTTGATGTGGACTGAATTCTATCATTCGGGTTGGTAATGTGGCCACCATTCTAGGTAGCTCGCCATCATGGTGCGCATTGGACTAATAGAATTCAGTCCACACTAAAGAAAGGACTAGACACATCACACTAGTTACTAGTGTCCAGTCAAAACATTTTATCTCTTCAAAGTGTCAGATATATCATGCTGACGAATGCCAATAAGTATGAAAACTAACTCCAGGGTTTTCTGAGGATCATACTAAGTATCTAAAATCCAAATGTTGTGTGCAATATAATAAACCAAGCAGTTAAAAAAAACTGTTCGGTGATTATTGTATTTTCGTCAGAATTTATTCACCAATAAACTGTTTTTAGGAAGAGCATATGTAGACACATTTTCAAAAAATATGTAGTTTTGAACAAAAATTCTTTCCTAACAATATTTTTCAACATTCAAAAAAGATTTTCAAACAAAGAAAGTAACTACTACAATAGTAAAGCCAGTAATAATGATACTAGGATGACGATAATGAAAAAAATGCTAAAAAATAAAAGCTACTAACCAGTTGGTTTCCAATCCAGTTGGTGAACAATATGCTTATTACTTTAACCGGAAGGCGAAGTTTCACTTTATTTTGTAAGGTGCAGTACTATTTTTGGCCAGTGATTTCAATGAAATGAAAATTTCCATTGTACATTTAGTCGTAAACAAAACGAGTGAAAAGTTTCTCCTCGACAAATCGTTTTCAAATTCTGTACAATAGTGTTTATATCCAAAACAAAATTTATAAAATCAGTCAGACACTGATAAAAGTATATTCCAGAAAATTTTCTACCTTATGTGAGGTATGAGGAAATAGGTAAGGGGAGATTAAAAACGGAAGTTAGCATCACATATTCGGTGTTAAATAAGACTCATTCAATCTCAGTCTGTTTGAGAAAGTCACTATTATTAGCAAAGGATAAAAATTACAAAATAATCATAGCAAATAATAAATTGACACATAAAAAAACGATGGCAAGCACGTTATTCTGGTCATGGTAAGACAAGTCAATGTATGAGATACTTTCGAACGTAGCCAGTGATTTCGCTATGTTCAAATGTCTTACGCAAAGTATTTTTCCGCGATATTAGGTAGCTCTGTGTATTATTACGAAACAGTTAAACAAAGGTACCCGAGTTACAACGTCGACAATGATATTTAGGGATAGAGCGGTTGGTGTTCTTCTTTTTTTTCTTCTCTGGATAGTTCAGCTGGACATTCATCTACAACACGTTCACGGAATTGATGCTGTTTACAACTGGTATACTTGGCGGCAAAGAACAGGTAAACGGATAAATAAACACTGAAGTGATCAAAAGCAAAGACTTATCCTTTACGCTAGTCTAAATGAACTGTCCTCTAGAGATTGTTACTTTCAAGATAACTGCCTGAAATATCTTTTTGGAGAACACAACAAGATCCTTTATTCAGAGAGCACCCACAAGGAACGTTAATATTCTTTTTTTTTGATTATAGCTTGATTCCGCACAGTACTTTTGGTACAAGTATGGAATTTTCAGCACGTGATATGGGTAGCCTAAATTTTGCAGGCTGATCATTGATATCAGATGTGCGTCGGCAGGGAATCGAACCCCTGACCATGTGCATGGTCGGCGAGAGTCATAACCGCTATGCCACCGACGAATATAAGGAATGTAAGCGCCAACTGATTTTTTTATCTAGGTGGTTGAATGGCAGAAATGACAGGTGGTCAGAAATAGTCTCAAAATATAAGGCATTCATATTAGTCAGTTAGTTATTTATACATTGGCAAACGTTACACATTCAATTACCTCAGTATTTGATGACTATGTTGGCTGCTTTAAAAGTATATCTGGAATTTTTAAGCCATATGTGTTTAAGAAATAGGAGTATTAATTGACCATCACTGTAGATGGTTGTCTATTTTTACTGCTGGAAAGGCTTAGCTTATATAGACAAGTCTCTTAAGGATTACCTTCACATCAGTAACTCTTCGATATGTTATCCATGCGTGACAAAGTTAAACTTAAAGTTAAAACAGCATTGGCAGTAGGTATATAGTGTCATCATTGAGATAGTAGTGCTCCAAAGTTGAATGACGCCTTGCTTTTTAAATGATTTCCTTCACAGACGAGATTATTTATTTCTATTCATCGGCCTAATCTTGAAAACTTGGTTCTTGCACCTTTTTAGGCAGGCAGGAAAGAAACGCAGTGTCTGACTAAAGTGCATAGATCACATTTTTCAAGAGGTCTAACTTCTGTCAATTAGCTGCTTTAGCGCGACTGTCAGCCAGTGTCATCACACCTGACCACATGGAGCTGAATAAACACGACTACTAATTAGAACCTCTGTACA